CATGGCTGGGTGGAAAGAGGAATATAAGGTGGGAGGAGACAGACAGGAGCTCATTGCAGTATGAGCAGTCAGTCTGAGGATGCAGTCTAGGCAGCCAGTCTGAGGATGCAGTCTGAGAACAGGATTGCCCTTTGGGTCTGAGGATTTGGCAGAGGTAAAAGGTCTCTCTAGTGGTTGGCTGCACTGCTTCTCTGATCTCTCAGCTTTCACCCCATTACATCTGACTCCGAGTTTTTGTTAAGAACAATTAGAATTTGTGTTACAAGACGCCTTTATACACATGTATATTAATTTTTAAAATTATTTTATTATGTGTATGTGTGTTTTGCCTGCAGTTATAGCTGTGCAACTGTATCTTTCCTGGTGCCTGTGAAGGGTCCCCTGGAACTGGAGTATAGACAGCTGTGTTCAGTCATGTAGGTGCTGGAAATCAAACCTGGGTCCTCTGGAGGAGCAACCTGTGCTCTTAAACAATTGAGCCATCTCCCTAGCCAATATATAAATATCAAATATATAATATATTATGTAATATTAAATACACAATATACTATACAATTATCAAGTATATTATGTATAACAAATACATTATGTAGTATATTACATATACTATATAAGTATATAATATTAAGTAGATATTTAACAAAATTTTATTTTAAGTATATGGGTGTTTCATCTACATGTAAGTCTATGCACCATGTGTGTTCCCAGTGTCTGTGGAAATCAAAAGAGGGCTTTGGAGCCCTTGAATCTGTACTTCTAACAACTGTGAGCCACCATGTGAGTGCATTAGAAATTGAACCCTCTGTCCTCTGGAATAGCATTCAGTCCTTTTAAACTGCTGAGCCATCTCTCCAGTAGCCCTCATATATATATTTAGAGTTTATATGTGTGTGGGCATGGATGTACCATGATGGGTATGAGTGCATGTCAGAGAAAAATTTATGGGAGTTGATTTTCTCATTCTATTATTTGGGTTCTGGGAATTAAACTCAGGTTATCAGGCTTCAAGGCAAATTCCCTTACCCACAATAACATCCACACTTCACAAGTTCCATGGATTGCTTTCCAAACATACACACACACACACACACACACACACACACACACACACACATATATATTTATTTATGAATCTACTGCTGGCTTATTTATGATCTTCTGAGACTTGTGTCTCTGCAGGAAAATCTGGTGGTTGTGGGAGCTGAAGCTCAGTGGTGAAATACTTGCCTCATATTTAATTTCCAACACTGGAAAAATGAATAAAAATAAGGGAAGTCTGATAACATGGCACACACGTGCCACTTAGCATATGTAGAATTTAAAGGGTAACCTCGTGAGGTGTCTTCTCTCTTCTACCTTTCTGGGGATCACTGGGGAGTGAGGTCAGCACAGGAAACATCCTTACCTGCTGAGCCACCTCACTGGACTTCCTTACTTCTCTCTTTCCTTGCTTATGAGTCCCTGCCCCACAAGTTCCCTTTTTCCATCAAGAAATGAAAAGTCAGTAACCCCAATATTTTGGAAGTGAAGAAGGAGGATCAGGAGTTCAAGGCCATCTGCCATCCTGGGTCACATGAGTCTCAGTCTAAAAAAACAAAGCGAAAATGGGGCTTAGGATGTAGCTCAGTGATAGAACCTTTGTGTAGCAAGCTTGAGAGTACTTGAAACATAGTATGTAAAGAACGTTTACAATTCAACATTTAACTGTCATCTATTGCAAAAAGAAGCTTCTCTGAAGAGAGTTGAGGGAGGTATAAATCTATGGTATAACAGCAAGTCATTAGGACTTGGTTTAACACTATGTCCACTTAGCAGAGTAATAGTAGTTCTCCCATAGGGCCTCTCCCGTCACAGGTGTGTTTGTGTCATTTGTAATGCCCGATGAGGTCAAACAATAAGTAAAGGGCTATAGAGGGAGGGGCTCAAGGGAAGGAGGACATAATGCATTTATATAAAGGGGAAAAGGAGAATAATGGAACAGAAAAGGTTTGAATAGGGTGGAATACGGGACGGCAAGGTAGAGAAGGGAATAAAAGAGAGATAACTAATGCTAAAGACCTTTTAAAAGAGTCTTATGAAAACATATATGTAAACAAAGTTTTAATGGAATTACCCTATGATGGGTTGACAATGCCCCTTCTAGATATTATAGGATAACAAAAAGTCCAATGTCAGGAATATACTGTACACTGCCACCAAAAAGTGATTTTTTTTTTTTTTTTTTTGAGATAGGGTTTCTCTGTGTATCCCTGGCTGTCCTGAAACTAGCTCTGTAGACCAGGCTGTCCTCAAACTCACCCAAAAGATTTGTTTCTTATTTATGTGTATTCATATATTTGTGGGGTGGCTGCAGTTGCCAGACTGGCATCAGATCCCCTGGAGTTGCAGTTAGAGATGATTGGGAGCTGCCCAACATGGATCCTGGGTTCAAACTCATGTCCTTGGGAAGAACTGCAAATAATCTTAGCTGCAGAACCATCTCTGTAGCCCGTTTTATGCATTTTTTAGTCAGCAAAGTAAGGTTTCATTTTGGCATTTTTATACATACTTTGTTTCGGTTGACTGTCCTCCACTTATTTCTGCAATTCCCACCTCCCCAAAGTATATCCTACCACCCCCTTCTAATTTAATTCCTTTATTTCTACCTCTTAAGCTCTTTTTGGATAGATAGATAGATAGATAGATAGATAGATGTTTTGTTCTGCATGCATGTCTGGGCATTAAATGCATGTCTGATGCCCTTGGAGGACAAAAGAGGATATCAGGTACCCCTGGAGCTAGCTGGAGTCACAGACAGTTGTGGGCCACCACGTGTGTACTAGGAATTAAATCAGGGTCCTTTGGAAGAGAAACAAGAGCTTTTCATCACTGGGCCATCTCTCCAGCTCAGCTCCTATTTCTTTAAAACCTTTCTTCTCCCCATTCATGATTCCCTTTCCATAACTTACACACACACACACACACACACACACACACACACACACACACTCTAAAAGCTAGGATCCATATATGAAACAGTAGTTTTACTTTTTGTCTTGTTTTGAAATAGGATCTTATTCAGTATCCCTGGCTGGCCTTGAACTCAGAGATTCACCTGCCTTTGCCTCCTGAGTGATGGATTAAAGATGTGTATCACCATGTTTGGCCTAGTTTTACTTTGAACTACTCCAAAAATAGAAAATATACAAGTTGCTAAATTGCCTCTAAAAAAGTAAGCTATTTGGGCCAGCAAGCTGTCTCAGTGAGTGAAAGAGAAGCTGAAACCAATGGTAAGAGAATGGACTCCAGAAGTTGACCTCCATATGTTGCCAAGTACATGCTTGCTCTTCCTGTAACACACATGCACATGCACACCACCACCACCACTAAATATCAGAGAAAATATTAGGCCCTCATGTTATCTAAAATTTCAAGGAACCCAAATATTCTTTACAAATACAAATTTCCTCCTACAAACTGATCATTGTATACATAAAAGATGGGCGAGAACAGCAAAATAGTTACCAATTCAACATGTTTGTAAGTTGTATTTGGTAGCACATATATACAATTTTATTATTTATTTATATACAGGGATTCACTATGTAGCTTAGGCTGGCCTCCAAGAGCTCTGATTTAATACAACAGTTTCCAAGTACACAGCTTTCCTTGAGGCACTTCCTCAGAATTCGAGAGTAGTCCTTTTCTTTGTATTCTTTCATTTGTTTATTCATTCAAGGAATGAGGCGTTTATTGTGCTGAGTTGCTGGTGATACAAATTAGTGCAACCAGTTTGTATGTGTAGAAATACAATCCAGTAGTTCAGGCTGGTCTTGAACACACTATGAATCCCGGACTGGCCTACAACTCTTGATCCTCCTGCTTCAGCCTCTGGAGTGTGTTGGGATTGCAGAAATGTCTATGAAAAACTTTTTAAGATTTATTTTTTATTATTTGTGTGTATGTACATATGAGTGTGCGTATCTGCAGAGACCAGAAGATGATACCAAACCCCTGGAGTGCGAGTTACAGGCGATTTGAGGCATACCAAGTAGGTGCTAGGAACTGAACTCTGGTCCTCAGGAAGAGCAGCAAATGCTCTTAATGGGCCTCGTCAGCTCCCGAAAAACTTGAAAAAAAAAAAAAGTGCAGTAGTGGAGAATGAACTTAAAGACTTGAGTGTTTTGGGCAAGTACTTGGCCACCAAACTGTATTCTCAGTCCTCATGAATAATTATTGAAAAAAAAAACCATGCCAGTGAATCAGTGTTCATAACTTCCCAGAGGCCACCTCGTGAACACTCATTGTGATGCCGAGAGAAAAAAAGCCTTGCGGCACAACTTTAGAATGCATGTTACCAGCATTACTTTGTAAAGTAGGAAAGACTGGTTCATTTGATAAATTCCAAGAAATAAAAAAACTTTACACTTGGAGTGGCGGATGAATCTCTGTTGGCAGACTCCTTGAATACCATACACTAATACCCATATACCCTATAAATCCGGAGGCCGGAGACTTAGGGTTAGTCCTTGGCAGTCTACGTTTGAGGCTGGCCTGGGCTACAAAAGATCCTGCCTGAGCTACAAACTACCCTGACTCGATGGGGAACACTCACACACTCACACCGCCTACCCTCTCCCCCTCCCACCTCCCAGACGCGCGGCTACACCCCCCACGCCCCAGAGCCAAAATAAGCCACGTCGGATGGAAGGAAAAAAACAAAGGAAGTTCAAAAGACTCAGAATTTACAAAAAGATCACTTTTATTTATGATTTTGGAGACAAGGTTTTACGTCTTCTAGACTGACTTCGAATTTACTATGTAGCGAGGATTGCTTTGAATCTCTCGTCTCCGTCTTCCAAGTACTGGGATGACAGACGTGCACCATCTCACCGTGCTGGAGATGAATTTAAGGGCTTCCGGCACTTTAGGCAGGGGCTCCACAAATTGAGCCCGAGGTGGTGGTGGGGGTGGAGGTGGGGGAGGGCGTGTACTTTTATCCTGAAAACTCAACGGAAACAACGGCTGGGTGTAAGCACGGCGTCCAGAGGCACACAAAGACAGACCGACAGAAAGGTGTCTGGGAACAGCAGTGACTGAGTGGGCCAGACGGATCATTTTTCCTGGGTTGGCAGATTATGCAACATGGCTAAGGGCACCGCGAGCGTGAGGGAGAGGCCCGACAGAAAAGCTTTTGTCAGCAGCATCTCCATCGGGCGTCCCCACCCCCATCCTCGCCCCACCGGTCCGCCATCAACCGCGGCACACCCGGCCTGAGCCCGCCCCTCGGCACGCCCTCCGAGGCCTCGCTTCAGGCGGCTACTTCTCTGCTCTTTTTCAGTCGCTACTCCCCTTACGAGCCCACCCGAAAAAAGGTGCGACTGCCCAGACGTGAGAACAAACAAGCTTTTTTTTCCTCTGGCCTGAAGAGATCCAACGTGGCCGATAACTCCGAGCCGGAAGCGGAAGTGACGTCATGCCAACTGCCCCCCCCCTTTTCTCGGGGCTCCGAGACCTTCTCGGCGCTTGTCCGGGTGCTCTCCACTCTGCTCCGGGAGGATTCGGTGAGCGGGTGCGGGGTCCGGCACCGGGAGGGAGAAGACTAGGTAGGCCTCGGCGGGAAGGCGAGCCGAGCTGTGCTCGCGGGGCCGCGCGTCCTCCGGGTTCTGCAGCCCTTCCAGGTGCTGCGGCCCGAGTGCGCATCACGACTCAGCCCTGAGCTGTTTGCATCCACCTTTCTTCTAAAGCCTGTGTAAAGTAACCTTTGTGGAATTGCTTTCTCTCCCTCCCTCTCCAGAAAGAATAGACTTTCCGCCATTGGCATCACATTGAGACGCTGCATCTTCCGATCTCGGACGGGGCGATTCTGTCTGCTGCAGCCGAGCTCTGGCCAAAAGGTGGGTGAGGACAACCCTTTCCTCGGTTTTTTTTTTTTTTCTTCTTTTTTTCTTTTGGTGTGTGTGCGTGTCTGTGGAAAGCAATGTTTTATCCAAAAATTTAGCTTTTGTGGAACATCTGTTTACCTGAAGCACATTGCATTCTGATTTTAAAAAAAGGTAACTTGCTGGATGCATTTATCAGTATGTAAATATAGACGTACATAGACCCTACACGGGTCTCTTTGTGTCGAAGAAAAGTAAGACTACCAAGTTACTCTGATTTGATGCTGGAGGTGGAACTCGGGACCTCATGATGCTAAGCTCTCTCCTGCTGAGCTACACCCCAGCCCAAATAGTTAGCTATTGTCTGACCGCTGTAGGCCTATGCCTCCTTGCAGACTTTAAAAAATGGAGGCTTTGTTAGGTTAGTACTGGTTGGCTTTTTCCAAGGAAAAAGAAAACGTTTTATGGTGAACTATTTGAAATAAGTTAAGAATTTCAGGCATGATACTTTGACAGAATGGTTAATGCATCTTCTAAAAAAAAAATGAAGCTATCTACCCAGTAAGACCTTAATAGTTAATGTTTCAACCAAGAGAATTAAAAACAATAATATCTTCTTTGTGTGAAATCAGAATTCTTTATTGTTATAAAATTGGGCGTCTTTGCATCTCAGATCTCTCCAAAGTTCTTTGTTTTTGTGATAGTGGCAATTGGATCTAGGACATTGTGTATGCTGGGTAAGCTCCCTAGCACCGAGCTATAAACCCAGGCATCTCTAAGGCATTTTTCTTGTTTATTTAGTATATTTAAGTTTTAGTTATTTTTTTAAAATTAGATATTTATATATGGGATGTGGGTTTATGCCTTCGAGTGCACTGTCTCCGTACGGCAGAAAAGGCATGGGTCCTTGGAGCTGGAGTTCCAGGAGGTTGTGAGACACCTGGTGTGGTGTTGGGAACCAGATCTCAGGTTCTGGAAGAACAGTGCTCTTAACCAATAAGCCATTTATCTCTTAAATTCCCCTCTTCAAGATTTTTACATTGAAAATTTCAAATGGCTTTTAGAATCTTTGAACCCAGAGCCAGTGATGTTGTTCACTATGCTAACTTTTCAGAAGGTGTGTATTCCCCCCATTTCTCTGTATATTTTGATGGTTTGTTTTTGTAGACATTTTTGTTCGTTTAAGAAATTTTCTAGCTGGCTGGTGGTGATGCACGCATGCCTTTAATCCCACCACTCGGGAGGCAGAGGAAGCCTGACCTCCAAGTTTGAGGCCAGCCTGGTCTACAGAGTGAGTTGCAGGACAGGCTCCAAAGCTACAGAGAAACCCTGTCTCGGGGAAACAACAACAACAACAAAAAACAAAAGACAAAAAGTTTTTTCCATTTAATTTTTTTTTATTTTTTGTAGACTAATTGATGCTTTGGCTGAGTGAGTGAAGTGGGAAAGCTCTTGCCTAGAATGTTTGAGGCCTTGGGCTTCGTCCTCAGCATTACGAAGGGGGAGGGGTAGTGAAAGAAATCCAGCCTAAGCTTGTTCTCAAAACCCAGAATAAATGGATTACAAATTGATCAGAGTTTTGAAAGTTAATATACTCTATTGAGTTAATACATCCTATTGGTATGTGAGAGTACATGAAAGAATTAAAAGTGAGTGAGTAAGTGAGTGTGTGTGTGTGTGTGTGTGTGTGTGTGTGTGCACGCCTTTGTGTGTGAGAGGAACAGACAAAAGCCTTGGGGTGGTGCTGAACCCTGAACCTTGGACTTGGTAAGTGCTCTATCACTGAACTGCACTCCCAGTCTTTTTAAGTTCTTAAACTACATTTCCTTTTGTCCACATGAGTGCATGTTTGTGCTGTGGTGTGTGTGAGGAGGTCAGAAGACAACCTACTGGTTGTCTTCCTTCCATTTTGTGGGTCTGGGAATTGAACTCAGGGAACTGTAGACCTTTGGGCTTGGTGGCAAATGCCTTCACACATTCAGCCATCTCTCTGGTCTCTGTGCTTCTCCTCTTACCCCCCCTCCTTCCCCGGGCAATGATAATGGTTCCATATACTTTTTTACTTGAATATATTCATTGAACAAAATAATGAGTTTTATTGTGACATTTTAATGCATTCATATAGCGTATTTGGATCATATTCATTCCCAAGACAAGTGAGTTTAAAGTTGAGACGAAATGATAGGGTGTAGGGCTCACTGTGTTGAAAGAGAAGGACGTAGGTGGTAGAGAGCATGGTAGGCAGTGACTAATTGTGTTTGTACACTGCAGGAGAAGAGCCTTAAGAGTTAGTCCCAGGCTTGACGATAATTCACTCGTTTTCTTTGGTGGTACACAAGTCTTATCCCAGCAGTTGAGTGGTAGAGACAGGCAGGAGGATTGCTGCAAGTCTGATGCCAGTCAAGGCTATATAGCAAGACCCTATCTAAGTGGACAAGGGGACTCTGGTTGAGAACCCTGGATGCTCTTGCAGAGGCCCCGGGTTCGATTTCTAGCACTCACATGCCAGCTCGCAACCATCTGTAACTCCAGTTCCAGGAGAATCTAGTGCCCTCTTCTGGCCTTAATGGGCACCAGGCATACAAGTGGTGCACAGATATGCATGCAGGCAAAACACTCATACCTACCTATAAAATAATCACAACAATGAAACAGAACAGGGTAGAAAGTTCACCTGTGTTAGTTAAAGGAAATGTTTTTGTTCCTAAACAGTCAAATCCTCTTTGAGAGGTTTTTAGGCTGTCTCAGATTTCTCCTATCCAAACTAGGACTCAATTTCCCTGGGGGAATGAATGTTCTAGTTCTACTTACAGGAGGAACCAGTCCTGTGTGACTGCTTACAGATACCGACGCGAGTTGGAACCCCTCCAGGGTAAATGACCAGAAGACTCCCCTGCCTGTGTGGTGTAGCTGGAAATATCAAGGGATATTTATACTTTGACTTGATAATATCCATGTTATTTTCTATATTTGCCATTTAAGGAACAGAATAAAAATTGATGGTGTCAACCGGGTGCTGGTGGCATACTCTTTTAATCCCAGTGCTTGGGAGGCAGAGGCAGGTGGATCTCTGTGAGCTTGAGGCCAGCCTGGACTACAGAGCGAGTTTCAGGATGAGCTTCAAAGCTATACACAGAAACCCTGTCTTGAAAAACAAGCAAAAAAAGTTCATAGTGTCAAAGGAGTCAAAAAAAAAAAAAGAAAAGAAAAAACAAAGGGAAAACTAGGCATAGTAGTAAACACCTGTAATCAGAATATTTTGGAGGTGAAGCAGGAGGATCCCGAGTTCTAGGCCAGCCTGATTGACATCCTGAGTTCCAGGTAAACCTAGACTACATGAGCTCTTGTCTCTGAAAACCCAAACGAACAAATTAGTGACGAGTTACTACCATACAGCTGTAAGGTTGTATATATAATGCTGGGGACAGAATTTAGTGAAGTAATTCCAACTATTGGTAGTATCTGCTATATGTTTGAATATTCTGACCTTATAGTGTTAGTATAAAAGTAAAAACTATTATTTAAATATTACTTAAATGTGAATACTATTGAAAATATTCACAATTGTTATCTAAAATTGTATTCAGTTAGAAACAACTGTGGGGGCTGGGGATACGGTTCAGCTGACAGGTTGCTTGCCCTGGGTTCCATCTGTAGTTAGTTCTGTGTACACTTGACTATAGTATATATTCCTGAAATTCTGGGAGTCAGTAGGTGGAGACAGGAGACTCATCTTAAAATTAATTGGAGGAATAAATCAGTGGTAGATACCACACACAGATGAGTTTCTTTGACATCTCCTTTTCCTACCCTCGGAATTCAGAACCTTGTGAGTGCTAGTCAGGTACTGTATTACTAAGCTACATTTCTGTCTTCCACACAAGAACGCCTGCCTCTGTCAAGTCATGGACTTGACTTTATTAGAAAACACTTGTTTAAAAAATATAAAAAGAGGGTTGGAGAGATGGCTCAGTGGTTAAGAGCATTGCCTGCTCTTCCAAAGGTCCTGAGTTCAATTCCCAGCAACCACATGGTGGCTCACAACCATCTGTAATGGGATCTGGGGCCCTCTTCTGGCTTGCAGGCATACACACAGATAGAATACTGTATACATAATAAATAAGTAAATATTTAAAAAAAATAAAAAGAGAACATGTATACTTACTAATTAGTGTATTTAACACATTTACTGGCTTAAAATTTCATGTGTCTGAGTATGATGATGAACTCCTGTAATCATAACACCTGGAAGATAGGCAGGTACAACTCAGGGCCAGCCTGAGCTACATGGCAAGTAGCAAAGGTGGAAGGGGAGAGAACTAGTGTTGTATTAAAGCATGTGTTCAATGAAAACTTGAGGCATACTGCAACAGTCTGTAATGTTGTTCAGCTCTTTTGCATGTATTGGACATTTTTAATAGTAATCAAACAAGCTAATATTCTAGCTAAGAAAAAACAAAGGAAGTTGTAATTCTTCCCCAGAGTGAGGACATGTAGACATGATATCACTGTCACAAACTATATTCATTAATCCTCATGTTTAGACACATTCCGAGTGAGTAGTAGTAATATCCAGAGGTTAAATTAGAGCCAGGACTGGTGACTCAGTCCTGTAATCCCAGCTACTGGGAAGTAGGTTAAGAAGATTGAAACTTCAAGGCCATCAAGGGTTATAATGTGACTTCAATGCCAGCAGAGTCAACTTAGTGAGACTGTTTCAAAATAAGTAAAAAAGAGGGAGGCCTTAGGTTCCATCCCCAATATCAGAAACGGCAGTGAGAGCTGAATTAGGTGTACCTGGGAGTGGTAGGATTGTGAGCATAAGATCAATGCGGGCTATATAATGAGACTTTGTTTCAAAGGGAGAATAAAACATTTCATCTCCAGTGTTTGCAAAGAAAAATGGAAAAGAGATTGAATGTTTGGCCAGTTATTACAATCCAGTGGGAAAGGACTACAGCTCCTGTCATGTCGCTTAGGCTGGCCTTGAGTTCCTATCCTCCTGCCTCAGATTC